AAAAAGAATTAGTTTTGTATAGGGTGACAGATTTGGGTTTTTTTTTTACCCTTAACTAAAATATAAATTGACAGTTATCACTGACTCAAAAATCAAGATTATTTATTTTTAAACAGCTAAATTATTATTAGTTGCTGTACTCGCCTGATGACTCCAGTGACTTTTGTGAGCCTGAAACCAATGAAGTGGTTGGGCGTCAATGATATGATTCTTTTCTCCTGTCCTCACGTCACACTGGAGAACACTCACAGTTATGAAGTTATGAAGAAGGACCCTGGTGATGTCAGGCCCCGTTGAATAAGTTAGAAGGACTTAAGAAGTCGGACTAAAGTCAGTTAATCCTGTCGTGTTTTGACACTAAACCAATGCTGCTGTACAGGTGAAGATAAATGTTCCCAGAGCGCTGGCATGGTCCTGCTGCAGACGGCGTAGAAATTGCATGGGGTAAATGGTGCTGCGAGTCTTAAACATTTGGCAATGATAAACTCCGGGCTCCGCACTGCTGTGCTCTCAAGCTAAGTTGGCTGTTAGGTTAAAAAAAAGGAACAGCCAATCCCCTCCAACCCAGAACACAAATAAACCCGACTGCAGAAAGTACACTGCGCGAGGTGACATCCACCAGTTTGGTACAGATCTGTGTCAAAAGGTGAAGTAAATATTCTCACTGTATACTATCATCATTGTTATGGACCAAATTACTTCATTTTTCATTTCACCAAGAATTCTCTTTTAGAGAAAACGTATTTCCAGGAAGTACATTTGTAAGCGATCTTGTGTTTGAACCCATTTGAACAGGTCAACAACTGTAAAAATAGGAAGATTTAGTCAGTATTATTGTATAAAAATGCTGTCATTCTGAGTCTGCACATTTCCATTGGAGAGTAGTGAGAGCTGCTATGACGTATGGTTTAGATCAGTGTTTCCCAAAATGTATTTCTGAGGAACTGTATTTTAAGTTAATAGACATTATTCGTGAACTCCTAGGAAACATGATGCGAAATGACCCCAAAATAGACTCTTGCGACCCACCTGAGGGTCGCGACCCAGTCTTTGGGAAACAATGCTTTAGAGACAGTGGCTTAAAAAAAGTTAAGAGTTGGAGTTGGCAGAGACGAAGATGCTGAGATTCTCAGTGGGAGTCACCAGGACGGACAGTAATAGTAATAGATATGAGCGGAACAGACGGACAGTTAAGGTGGAACAGTTTGGAAATAATGAACAGGAAAGTACTAGGACAGACAGTGCTCTCTGAAGAGGGAGGTCTTAAAGAAGTTTTTTGAAAATTGACATGGATTTTGTAAAACAACAACCAGTGAATTGGTGGTGTGAATACGGCTCTCTCTTTTAAAAAAAAACAAATCCTGTGTGAATTGGTGTGAAATAAATACAACTGAGTTCTTCTCATGCGTTCATACTGTCTTTTCACAAGGGGCAGAATGTATGTAGAGATAAACCAAACACACACAAGTCACTCAGCTGTGAATGAATCCCTGGAGCAGAGGCACGAATATATAAGAAATATGTCAGAACTTCTCCCTCACACTGTGTGGTTGTTGTTACGTTTTCTCTCACCTCAACACGCGTCAATGTTCATCTCCAGTCTGATTCAACAGACGGAATCCTGAAAATTAAAAAAAAAAAAAAAACGAGTTTAACTCACTTTTTTTACATTTACGATTCAAATGCGATTCCATTTCCGGAGGCTTTATTTACGTTGCAATCTCACAACTGAGCCTGGTTTTAAATAACCGCGGTGTTCGTACGGTGCGTTTACAGACGTGGCCTGTTTGAACTAAACAGATGGGGAAGATGAAATGATTAGCCCAATGTAAGCTGCCGTCAAATTTATGGACTGTCTCCAACTTTCACAACACCTTCTGTTTGGCACTACATGGGGTCTTGGGGGGGTTTCTTAGAAGCAAGCGACATGGTTAGTATTTTCTCTTTTTTCACATCTTAAAAACTGTTTTATTAGACTTGATGTTTTCAGTTTCAACAGCTGCGCTCGTCCCGTTCGATCGGGACTTTTAAGCTAATTTAAGGCGTAACGTTAACAGCCCTTGTGACAAGTCTTCGTTAGCTGTGAATAATACCACTTTGAGATCAAAATATGTTGAAGCACCCTCGTTCCCGAGGCCACAATTAACTTCCTGAAATAGTCAGGAGAAGATTCATTGCGATCAATGGCAGCAGTTTTGACAATCGCGGCGCGACACGACCTGCATGCAAAAGAGCAGAGCTCGCTCCCGTCGAGGCGCACGAAAACACACTTCGACAGAGACAAAAAGCTGTGCTCACAGTCGTCAGCGCTTGTAAAATGGCCTGCAGGGACCCTCCGAAAAAAAACAATCAGACACGCTCGGGTGTACAGTTTAGAGATGCACAAACTGGGAGGCACACCTGCGCCGTTGAGCGCAAATCAGTCAAGTGTGCACGGCTCCCTCTCTCCCTGGCATTCTTCCGGCCTAATTAAGGAGTGAGCGGCCCACCAGAGGGGTTGACGAGGCACAGGGAAGTTTGATTAATATTCAAAAGCAGCGACACACTGGGCCAATGTCACAGGACGGGACAAAACCCAGGAGAGAGAAGTGATTCAGGAAATGAGCTCCAGAGATACCAGAGATTTGGACTGACTTTATCAACTGACCTGACTTCAATTCAAGTTCACACCTAAGTGACGTCTGTTAGGTGCTGCCATTAGGGGTCGCCACAGATGATCATTCATCAAAATGATGATGTTCAGCCTCAGATTAGGAGAATTTGAACAAACCATTGTTGAAGGATGATTCAATTTTCAAAATAAAACGTCTTCTAGACTGTCTTCTGTTAGTATCAGAGTCTGAATGACCTGCTGTTGTGAAAGATTGACAGATTTTCTTTAAATGAAAAAAGTAAAGGGATATGACTGGGTTCTATTAGAATGAAGTAAATTAGTAAAACTGAAGTACATTTTTTAACTTTGTCCCTGTTCCAAATGACCTGCGGACCAGCTCTGGTCCCCAGACCGGGGGTTGAGGACCCATGATATTCAAAATATATGAGAAGGAGATGAAGTGAGATAAAAATTCAAAAACATCTGTGGTGAAAACGAAGGACTGAAGTCTAAGACCGGTATGTTGAGGACTATGACTGAGGACATGCCCAGTGACACTGCAATTTGACGGGGGGCCAGGTGGAGCGTTCTTATGAGATGAAATACATGTAAAAGTCATAAAGGCTAAATGCTACGACATCTATTGGAGAAATGCTGGCATTGCAGGGAAAAGGCAGAAGTACAACAATAATAGAAATTAATAACATCATTTGGACATGTTTGGCGGGCCAGATTAAAAAGCCAAACGGGCCACATCCGGCCCCCGGGCCATATTTATTACGTCCTACCATTGGATCGTGACCATGTACAATATCAAACAAGCATAACTGTTGTTGTGACTGACAGCACAACCCACACCTTTCACATGGAATTCACTTTATTCATTTGTTGAATAAAAATATTCCCTCTGCAGGATTTCCAGCTTTAGTTCACGCGGCCGACGTAAGTAGTGAGTAAATAAAATGAGGCGAACGGCAAAAGGGCCGTCATGAGGAACCACGGGGAACTGGAGGATAAGGGAACAAAAAAGGAGCAGAGACAAAAATAAATGAAACGAGGGAGGACGAGGGAGCGCAGGGAGAGAAAAGGGAACGAAAACGTGGAAAAAAAAAAAAACCTCACATGACCAGCGGTGCACCGGAGTAAACAGTGGGCTGTGGTAAATGAATTGTTCCGCAGGAAGCATTTTCATTTGTGCGCACACTGAGCACAATGCAGCAAGAGAGGATCTGTGTATGTGTGTGTGTGTGTGTGTGTTGTCCCTGCAGTTGTTAAGAATATATAGGGATGAAACATCGGCCTAATATGTTAAAGCCACCAACGTTCACTAATCTTGGAGAAATGAGCCACTTATGCGTGTTCGTGCGCCGGCGTTCCACTTATTAAAAAGTGACTGGGTATAAAAAAAAAAGTCTAATAAAAACACAAAAAGACAAATCACAAAAGCATTCACAGACCAGGGAATACCCAGCTGTGGATATAATGCACACTAGGCTGAGAAATTAGCAGTAGTCTGGGGCTAAAACGCAGTTTGGAGTTACTACATAGTTGTTTAAATATAGCCAAAAATTACGCTAAAATATAATTAATAAAACAACTATAACGACTGGAGACTCTGACCTTCACAAGATTAAAAAGAGATTTATTAGGGTTGTCAGGTTAATCACCAGGTAGTTGTGAATTAATCACGATTAATCAAGGTGAATCGTCAGTCCGAAATATTACTTTTACTTTAAAAACTTTTTCTGCTGCACTCTGCTGGAACAACAGACAAGAAGTAACTTTTATTTTGTTTGTGACTAATCCGTTTATGGAAATATGTTGAGAAAATTATGCAAAAGCAAAATTTAAAAAAATAATCTAAAATATGAAATAATGTAGTTTGAAGCCTCTGCTGGATAATATGGTTTTCTAAGCTCCAGCAGCACAGGCAAAAATTAGCAATGTGTTACAACTTACATTAAGTAAATGGACAGTGCAACAGTTGGATAAACTGTTCAGTTTGTCATTCTGCCCATGCATCAAAAATTTTAATCCGGTTATTCTTCACTAATTAATATTGGAAACTTTTCAATGAACTCTCATTAAATCCATTCACCTTTAAATCAAATGAAATCCTCCCTCAGGGGAAAACCTTTGGTGCTGATGCAACAGGCTAAATCAGAGGTATTAAACTCATTTTGGTTGCGGGGCCACATATAACCTAATTAGATGTCAAGCAGGCCGAACCAGTAATTACTTATAAGTAACAAAAATGTTTTTGTCTTTGTTTTAATGCAAACAATTACATTAAATAAATCTGCATACTTAGTGAAATTTGACAAAACAAAAATTAGCAAAAATTACATTAAATAAATCATCATATTTAGTGAAATTTGACAAAACAAAAATTAACAAGCGGGCCGGATTGAAACCCCAAGCGGGCCAGTTTTGGTCCGTGGGCCGTATGTTTGACAACCCTGAGCTTAAAGCAAAATGTCAGGGAATATCAATATATTCCTGCATTTCCTTAGCTTATGCATAGCATTTCAGTCTGCACCGAAACAAGACACTTTGTCCATAGCTGCGGGAATAAATTCATACAACTCCACTAAGAAAACATATAATTGTGTTGCGACGTATGTATAAAAGTTAAGTATTATTCTTGTACTGGATGCAGAAACCTGACGCACACACACTTCAAGTTCTCTCAGTCTCCAGTGTAGCATTATTTGTTTTGTCACGAAAGCAAATTTTTGAAAATTGACGCGGGCCGTAACGAGCATCTGTTTTCCCCCATCTGTGCACTAATGCAAATGAAGTCACTGAATATTCAGACTGGACTCAGTCTGGAAAGAGATTTAGTGGCACTCGCTCACAGTCGGTGAAGAGAATCAACCGGATCTGCAGGACAACACAGTCCTGGATTTAAAAAAAAAACAAAAAAACTCTACTTTCTATCCCAGCATGCTCCACTCCTGGCTTTAAACAGACATATGTTTAATAAAAGTGTCACTAATTTGGAACAGCGTGTGAGCTGACAGGGAGACATCTGTTTGATTCGTCCATTCAAGGGGACAACTGATCTACCTGTCCTCTGGGCAGAGAAGTTTACCTCCAAACTCTTGACTGTGCCGTCAACGTCTCCTCCGAAGACTCTCCGCTTTGATTCCGTCTCCTGTCTGTCTGTTTCTTTTTGTCATCATTTCTCCGTTTCGTCCGTCTTTATCACCTCAAGTTTTGTCTTTCCATCTCCTTGCCCCTTTTCCTTCCTCCTTCATTTCCATTCCTCCACCTCTCTCCCTACAGCGAGGACGTTCCATGAATAATTCAGGGGGGATGATAATGGAAAATTAGAGGTGAGACAGTGTGAAGTCTGTGTGTGTGAGAGAGAGAGAGAGAGAGAGAGCAAAACACATTCATTCAAGCCAGCAGCCAACTGTAAGGAGCTCTTTATCCATATAAATTATGTCAATAAAGTGACACTTCTGTTTAAAGCTGCGAAATGGAGAGGAGTGACGGCCGATTTAGTCTCCTCAGAGGGATGTCCCTAATGATTACAGTTCTGTTGTTCTGTCAACATTATCACCGGCTGCCATAAAGGTTATCATTCAAAGCTGGAGAATTCTGGAACCAGACTTCAGTGACATTCACACTGCAAAAAAAAAAAACAAAACACTTTCATATTGTCTTCTATATGGGATACAGTACATACTGAATGGGTCCTCACACTCTGGACAGTCATGTCACATGTCTTTGATTCTCTTGCATTAATGTAAGTGGGACAGGGGTCACAATTCTGACACGAATGAAGGTCAGTGGAAGGAACTAGAAGTTTTACTGGCTCCCAAGATATAAGGCTGCTACAGGAAAGATGGCATCACAGCTCCAGAAAGAGCAGTGGCTCTCAGATGGATGGATGGATGGATGGATGGATGGATGGATGGATGGTTGGATGGATGGATGGATGGATGGATAGATAAAACCAGCATGTGATGTCTGTTGGACTGTTAACAACTGGGCCTGTTTAAACATCTTTGTAGTCCAGTCACTTCAGGGCTGTGGACTGTTAACAACTGGGCCTGTTTAAACTGTAATGTGAACCACTAAAATTAAAAAAATAAAAAACAGATCTAACAGCAAAATCAAGTTCAAATATCAAGGCAACAAGACCAGCAGGGCGACCGTAGCCTCAGTGTTCCGGTGGCAGTAGCAGTTTCACACAACTTGCTGCCCGGCTGTGCTCTTCACAGTTTATTTGTATTTCATATGCATAAAAGAAAAATGGCCCTGGAAGCAGGACATACTGTGTAACACTGTGACTGCAGGAGGAGGAGGAGGGGGGGGGGGTGGTGGGGGGGGGGGAGGAGGAGGAGGAGGAGGAGGAGGAGGAGGAGGGGAGCTTTTTTGTATGTGTACCAAGAGGATCACCTCCAACTGAACACTTTGACCTTCCTGCCACTGTTCACAGCTTGTTACTGCCTGTGACTAAAGTGCAAAGCCATAATCACAACAAAGAAAAGTCATGTACAGGACAACGCCGACTCGGAGCTACCAGAAAAAGAAGATTCTTGATTTAAAAAAAATAAATAAATCCAAGACACCCAACCACTGTAATGTGCAGCAATAGATCTTCAGAAATACTATGAAAACTGATCCAGTTGATTGGTTTAAAAGCTGTGATTTATTTACTGCAAATGATTTGCCTTCATATGTTGATGCAGTAACAGGCAGAACAATTAAATACCCCTCCACCAGGTGGTAGCAGATTACTGTTAAACCTAAAAAATGAGACTTGGAGCCTAAAAAAAATTAACTCAATTCCTGTGAGTATATCAGGGTTGCGTTCAACTAAACATGTTCACCAGTAAATTGTAAATAATTTGAAAACAGAGTTCACAAGTAAATTGTAAATAATTTGAAAACAGAAGATTCTCAAATGTCCATTATTATATATTTGGTGATATTTTTGTGTAGTGATGCATCATGGGATGTGATATGAGAAACAGTGTATTAAACAATAGCCCTACTGATCCTTATTGATCCCCAGCCACTGATGTAGTACTAACCAGCTGAAGACTGAATCCTCCGTCTATGTTTGGGGTTTATTTCATCACATTTATTTCCTATTGTGCATGTACAGCCTCTGGGCTTCATTGTTGTTAATGCTCACTGCTCTCACGGCACCTGAATATATCCTCTTATTCACATCAGCGGAGTTGATGTCTTTCTTCACTGCTCTCTGTTGTTGTTACTTTTTGTTGTTGTTGTTGTTTTGTACCCGGGGCCCGGAAGATGCAGTGAACTGAGGCAGGGAGTCTGAAACATTTAGTGTAATTGTGCGCACGAGTCCCATCAACCTGCTACACACTCCAGAAACTGACAAGAGAAATCTCCTTCTGTTAGATTCCCCATCGAAGGTGGATCTCTCTAAATGTCTAAAGTGCTGCTGCAGAAGGATTTCGCTTTAATTGCGCACACGGGTCCCGTCTGTGTGCACATCCTGCTCCTGCATCCTTCCCCCGTCCCCACAGGTGACAGCAGAAAGAATGTCTATGTGATTCCAGTCTTCCAATGGAAGACAGGTTTCCTCTATTGGCAGTCTCTGAGTGCTGCCCCGGCAGAAGAGCTCATCGACACTCCTTTAGGGTTGATGCGTTTAACAAACGTACAGTCTAACCAATCCATAGAGCTGGAGGTGAATGGCACTGCAAACATCTGTCAGCTGCAAACCGGCCTCTATCCTCCTCCATCCTCAGGCAGCAGCAGTGTTAAAAAGAAGGACTGTCTGAGGAGGAACAAAGTGGAGGGAGGACATTATCACTGAGAGGCATTTTTCTGCTTCCCTCAATTTGAGTGACAAAAGATAGAGAAGGGATGAGGGGAATGTGAAGAAAGGGAGAGAGAAATGCCATCGTGGGCTCCATGTGAATTTACAAGATAAGCTTTTGTGTGACGCACCAAATAAAAATGGGGGCTATTCCCATATGGCCTAGAACAGTGGAACCATAGACACTGATCACCACTGAAATGATGGCAGTAGTACAACTGATCTTCAGTTTCAGAGCAGATTTAGTCATTTTTGCAGTTAGCAGTCAGGCTGAAAATGTATTGTGATGTGTGAAATTGGTTGGTGTGTAGCGTTGTAGCGGTTAGCACACCTGTCTCGGAAGCAGAGAAGAGATAGTCCTGGGTTAGATTCCCAGAGGAACCACATACTTGGCTCCTGCAGGGGGCAGCCTGTTGCAGCAGAGCTACTGTTAGCAGAAGAATTTCCCAAGTATGTGTGTGTGTATATATATAATATATACATACATATATATATATATACATATACATACATATATATACATACATACATATATACATATATATATACATACATATACATATACATATATATACATATATATATATATATATATATATGCATATACATATATGCATATATATACACATATATATACATATATATACACATCCACACATATATACCCATATATACATATATACTATATTAAGCTCAGTCAGGTTCATTTTTGGTACATTCACAAACTTGATATAGCAGGTAGTCAATACATAGAGGCCTAAGGTTCTGCACGTAGACCATGAGCCTTTAAACACACTGAGCAGCAGCTCTCTCATTCTCTATACAAAGCTGTTTCTCACCAGCACACCAGTGCAGAGACACAATGTAATAAATAGAAGAAAAAAAAATGCTACAACACCCTTCGCTAGCCAAACCCATAAACACAGAAGAACCAGTCCCACATTAAACAGCAAAACACGACAGTAACAATCAAACCTAGTAATAGAGCCACGTTGTAGACACACCTCAAGCAGCATTCCTCAAATGCAGAGTAGTTAAATAGGAGTGTGTGTGTTAGTCACAGTGTGACTCCTAACTATATTTGAACCACAAAGGTGAGGTCTAGATTATGTTAGCAATTCTATTATACAATCCTAGCAGCAATTACCATGCTAAATCAAGCTTAGCAACCACACCACACACCTGAGATACTCCTGGCATTGAACCCATGCCACACAGGCACCACACATGTCGACCCTCACGCGTCTAGAAACAACAAACACAACGGGGGGGAGAGAATCAAGACTATTAGAATAACACATTCAAATGAACAAAACACATCCTGTCTAGAAACAACAAACACATTCAAATGAACAAAACACATCCAATCCAGCAGCATCGTGTCAAGGTGAAACTGGAGACAAAAACCTCATCTGTATGCACTGCTATGTTTTCCAGGGTTTGCATCAAGAAAAAGTTCAACCATCTACAACGTGGACTGACATTTCCTAAGAAAGGAGAACAAACAATGTTGCAGTACATCTGAAATGTCAGGAGACAACCTTTCCACCAATTAGTGCAGCCAACGCTGGTGGATCTGGCAGTCGTATCTACAGAGGGGGAACATTTAGCTCACGACCGGAGGAACAAAAGACGATGTCTTTGGAGATCACGTTGTCCACGGCGGAGCTGGGATCTAAACGGACGCCTTGGTGGAACAGGTGTCTCACTGTCCTCTGATGAAACAACAGATGTATAAGAGAGAAGTCCGTCAGCGTGTAATGACTTCTGACAACCTGCTCACACCTACTGTAGATCCCTCCTCTCAGGCACCTCCACACAGCTGAGCTCCTCTCCTAGAGCCACAGTGGTCCAACAAACACTCAGAGACACCTGTCAGGATAAAAGCCACTGGCTTTGGGGGAGAAACTCACATCCTCAGAGGTTTGGAGAGCTTCACCTCTGATTCACCGTCTCAGAGCAAGTGTCTTATCCATTCTGGCATACAGACACAAGCATTTCCTCCTTCAGGCCGTCAGCGTCACAGAGCCGTGGGCTACCACCGGCTAACGCTGACTGCACTTGTGAAGAAACCTGGGTTACCTGTGACACTGTTGACTCAACAACATAATATTACATATTACAATATTTATTTATGAGAGTGCAATATGTTTAATGGCAGCTCCAATACTTTTCAGCTAAAGAAAATGTCATTCAAATGTGCATTACGCTCCAAATTGTTCTGGAGACTGTCCAGGGGTTGATGAAGTCTTTGGCGGACATTTTATTCGAGGGACAAAATAGCAACAGGTTAACAATGAAAAGTCTGCCAAGTCTAAAATCCTAAAATCACTGGGTTGCACACTTGTTTGTTTTTTTATTAATTTAAATTATTTGTGCTCCTAACTAGTTAGTAGCCATCGTCTGGTTCTTCATTGATTGAGGTTGGATGCAGACAGCTGTTGCGATGACCGTGAACTCCTGGGAAACATGATGCGAGACGACCCAAAAAAATCTCTTGTGACCCACCTGAGGGTCGCGACCCAGTCTTTGGGAAACACTGATAT